TCATTTTACAGCTGCATCATATCCCATTGTGTGAAGTCCCCCAGCTTTTTTATTTCCCCCATTTTTTAATTAAGGTGCTATGTGTACATATCTTACCATTGCCCACCCCACTCCCATACATGCCCTCACCCCCCAGAGTTTTGTGTTCATTGGTTATGCTTATATGCATGCACACACATCCTTCCGTTGATCTCTTATCTCCCCCACCTCTCCCTAACCTTCCCGGTGTAATTTGACATTCTGTTCGATGCTTGACTGTCTCTGCATCTATCTTTTCGTTCACCAGTTTATAATGTTCTTTATTATCCACAAATGAGTGAGATCCTGTGGTATTTTCCTTTCATTGACTGGCTTATTTCACTTAGCACAATGCTCTCCAGTTCCACCCAGATTGCTGCAACTGGTAAGAATTCCTTCTTTTTTATGGCAGCGTAGTATTCCATTGTGCAGATGTACCATAACTTTCTGATCCACTCATCTGCTGACGGGCACCTGGGCACTGCATTTTTGTTTATGGCAGGAGGAGCGACAGGAGCACTCTCATGAGCCCTCAGAACTCCCAGGAGGGTCATTTGGGCCAGAACCTGTTTCACGCGGCCGCCAACTGAAGAAATGTACCAAAGAAAAGAGGCAGGAATGGCCTTTGAGTCAGCCAGGTGCTGGAACATGTTTGTAATTCAAATTCAGCACAATGAAAGCTACCCCGAGAAGGGCAGGTGCCTGACAGGGACCTTGGTGGTGTCCTTCACTGCTATTGCGTGGCACCTAATATTAAATAAACTCATGTTGCAATTTATTTAATACTTATTAGGTGCCATGCAATAGCAGAGAACTTCTTAAGGACTCCCCCAGTTTTCACCATCTACCACGTACTATAGCTAACTATGGAATGGACTGAGTCAGAGAGATGGCAGCCATTGTCTTCAAGGACAACAAACTCCACTGAGTCTCAGTCAGAATGTCAGTCTCACAGCCAGGCCCCAAGTAGAGAAAGAGAGGGAGGAAAACACGGCAGGTCGGCCTTCTGGCGGGGCGGTCCCTGTGCGCAGGGTCAGGCGCTAGCAGAGGCGGGACCGTTTGGACTTGGACACAAACTTCATTTGAGGCAAATCCATTTCCTGTCGGGGAACAGGCGTGAGGCGCCACAAGTGCAACCAGTAGCTCCCGGCTCTTCACCTGGGCTTTTTCCTCTCTCCCCTCTAAAGAGCAGAATGTTTTCTAAGATCACATGGTGCTTTTTAAAAAATATATTTTATTGATTTTTTTTTACGGAGAGGAAGGGAGAGGGATAGAGTTAGAAACGTCGATGAGAGAGAAACACTGATCAGCTGCCTCCTGCACACTCCCCACTGGGGATGTGCCTGCAACCAAGGCATATACCCTTGACCTGAATCGAACCTGGGACCCTTCAGTCAACAGGCTGATGCTCTAGCCAATGAGCCAAACTGGTCAGGGCTCTCATGGCGCTCTCACAGCAACTCCAGGTCCCTGATATTGAAGTGGCCCCTGTGATGGCACAGGTGATGCCTAATATGTGAAGGCCTGGCTGTGGGCGACTGGGCTCGATGGCTTCCAGGCGGGAGAAGCCTTGGGAGAGACTGGACTGCTCTGCAGGTAGCTCTTACAGGCAGGGCTGTGCCATCTGTTCAATAGGGCACCTCTTCCCCATGCACACTGGCCCCGTCTGTCTCAGCACCCCACGCCGGGCTGCAGAGGGCTGTGCAGGGACCTCCCCACCCAGCCAGGTGGGCCTGCTCTCCTCCTCAGTGGGTGGCCAGGACTCACCTGTCTCCACTCCGCACCCAGGTGCTTGAGTGCCCGCCTGATTCTTAATTGTGCTCCCCTGGCCCCCCTTGCTCTTCCACAGAACAACCCTCCTCCGAGCTCACCCCACCTGCTTCAGCTCCTTCATGCAGCTGTCTTTTCCTGAAAGAGGAACACCCGGGTGTAGTGTCAGAGAACCCAAAGTGGGAGGGTTCTTCAGAGGGCGGAAGGAGAGGTTTCCTTTGTATTTTTCATCAGAGGGGATTTGGGGTGCTTTCTCTTTATGGATGTCCGGGGGCGCCCTCTTTGGCCCTAAGACCATCCTCTGCTGGCTGTAGACTCAACCCAGCAATGGTGGCAGCAGGAGGCAGAAAGGTGGAGATTAGAATGTGTAATTCAGTTCCTGGCCACTAGGAGGCACCAAAGACCACCATAAAAAGTGCAGCCTGGCGTTGGAGCTTTTCCCCTTCTCCCAGTCAGTTTAACTCTGTCCCTGAATTCGGCTAGAGGACTCCCGTGGACTCTGCTGGGAATCCGAAGACAAGCCTCCACGAAGTGTCAGCTTTCCATTGTCCGACCCGCAGGGGTCCTGGAAACCCAGGCAGAGAGCTCTGAGGTGGCAGGCGGCTGTGCCCAAGGACGCAGGAGCCCTGGTGCCATGGCCACAAAGTGTCCGTGGGCTTTGCTGCTGGTGCCTCCACCCAGCCTGTGCCCCGTCTCCAGGCCTGTGCATCGCATTGCTCCATGACTGTCCCTTTGCACTGGCCACGGGGTGGAGGTGGGAGTGGGGAGCTGGAGAGAGAGCTCTGGATGCCACGCCTGGGCCCTCTCCCTCCCTCAGATGGCACGCTCAGGTTGCTCTGTCTCCTCCATCCACACGGCCAGGCCTCCTTCCAGGCTGAAATACCTCTCCCCCGACTGTCCCCCGCCATTGTCACCAGCGTGGCCTCTCCCTTCCTACTGGCCCCCCGCCTCCCTGTCCGTCCCCCACACGGCTTCCTGAGGCCCCTTTTATGGGGCAGACCGAACCCCTCATCTGAACACGCTGGGTCTCTTGTTGCTCTCAGCGCGGAACCCAAACTCCCCACCTGGTGTCCCAGGCTCTGTTTGGTGGGAGCCCCGTTCATGTCCTGTGTGGTTCAGGGTTCCCGTTCAGGGTTCGGGTTCTGGAGAAGGCTGCACGCAAATGAAGAGAGGCTGGAAAAGAATTAATTGTGGGAGGGAGGGGGAGAGACAGAGAGAGGAACATTGAGGTGAGAGAGACACATAAATTGGTTGCCTCCCACAGGCGCCCTGACCAGCCTACAACCGATGTGTGTGCCCTGGGCCAGAATGGGATTCCACCACTCTGGGGAGGATTACCCCTGCTCTGGCCTTGTCATCCCTTTTATTAAGGTTATGGGATACACCCATAGGCAGGAAATTCCAATAATAGCCAATCAGCAAGCATTGACATATGACTAACAGGTGGAGGTTGCTTTAACTACCAATGTCTCAACTAAACAATGAGGGATTAGCTCCGACCTTTCAGAGCAATTACGGTTGACCAGCCTTCCGGATTCCCTGTCCACATCTCTCTATTAGGGACAATGATCGGTTTCCTGCACTGTGTGATCTGCTCAGGCTCCCGTCTCCAGTTTCCACTCCCTGCCTCCCTCCCCATCTCCACAACTCTCTCACCTAGAACCCTACTCCCCGACACTTCCCAGTCACACTAACACATCTGCACCTGCTGTATTCTCGCTCACTGTCCCCTGTGCTCGGGAATGTGCAATGCCCCCTCCCCAGGACCCCAGCTGAGGAGCTGCCCCTTGCTTTAGGACGAAAGCTGAGCTCTCCTCCTGAGGGGTCTACAGAAAGCCCCACTCCCAGCGGGGGCTGCCCTTTCCCCACGTGTGGCAGCTCAGTGGTGGGGTGCGCCTCCCCCTCCTCCAGGCCCTCAGCTCTGTCAGTCACGGCCTCTCCAGCCCCAGCCTGTGCCCTGCACCTGCTAAGCCTTTGCAGACACTTGTTGAAGGAACCGACCCATAGCACCTGGCCCAGAGGATGCGCAGACGCGATGCAAACACTAGGGGGCGCTGCGGCCACGTGCATCGAACGGTCAGCATCTTCGGTCCTCGCAGGGCCCAGCTAGACGGGCTCTCTTGTGACCACGCAGACTCCCGAGGCTCAGACAGGGCTTAGTGCAGGCAGGGAGGCTGTGTGCAGCGCTGCGATCTCGGGGGTACCTGCTTTGGGACAGACTCCTGCCCTGGTGCCTGGTGCCTTCGTGCACGAGTCAGAACTAGAACCCGGGCCCCCAGGCTCCCAGCTTGCACTGCTGGGCGGGTCCTTAGAACCCGGGCTCCTGCAGGAGCCTGAACATTGCTCAGGGACCGCAAAGAGCTGCAGCTTCGCACACCCACCCCCTCCCACTTCTGCATGTTTAAAACAGGCAGAGCCGGAAAAGACAAATCTGTCTGAGAGCGATGGTGTCTGTTCACCTGTTTCTGTCCTGAGAACCTCGTCAGGTGTTCAATGAGCCCTAGCCTGTGAGCCCAGGAGAACACGCTAGCTGCTGGGAGGAGCCTGGGTGGAGAATCTCAGGGAAGGCAGAAGCAACAACGAGTGGCTGGACCCAAAAGGCGAGCATTACACGTGGAGTCAAAGGGAAAACGGAGAATTCTAAGTAAAAGAATAAAGCAGAGCTCCCGCCAGTTTGGCTTGGTGGACAGAGCATCGGCCCCCGGGCTGAAGGGTCCTGGTTTCCATTCTGGTCCAGGGCACATACCTCGAGTGCAGGCTGGATCCCGTGGGAGTGCCTGGTTGGGGTGCCTGTGGGAGGCAACCAATCGATGTGTCTCTCTCACCTCGATGTTTCTCTCTCTGGCCCCCCCTCCCCCCCCCCCCCCCCACACACTCTATCTAAAACTAAATGGGAAAATACCCTTGGGTGAGGATTAACAACAACAGCAAAAGCGTACTGCACAGAAGGTTGGCTCAGAAGGAGCGGAGAGGAGAGGGATGCGGGCTATGGGGCGGGAGGACTCAGAGTGGCAGCATGTCTGACACTGTGTCCAGGTTGGAGAAATGAGAGGTCCACAGGAGCCGTAAGTAAGAAATCCGACAGGCACCCTGCGCCTGGGGACCGGGAGGTTTGAGAACGTCCTTGGGGAGCGAGGGAGAGCCAGGGCCACACGTGTCCCGCCAGAGGCAGGGGCCCAGGCCGCTCTGTGACGCTGTGGCTTCCCTCTCAGATGGCGGGGACGGCGCGCCATGACCGGGAGATGGCCATCCAGGCCAAGAAGAAGCTCTCCACGGCCACCGACCCCATCGAGAGGCTGCGGCTGCAGTGCCTGGCGCGGGGCTCCGCGGGCATCAAAGGACTGGGCAGGTAGGACCCCGGGGTGGGAGATCAACTCCTGGGGACTGTGTTTGGTGCTCAGTCCCAGGCCTGGCGAGGCCCCTGTGTGCCGTGAAGCTGGCAATAAAGGGAGGTGTTCGCTGGTGCCAGAGACCCCCGGCAGCACCTGTGACCACAGCGGCCTGAGGAGGGAGGAAGGCGGTGACCTAGGCAGAACTCGGTGTTTCACTCCCTGGCAGTCCTGTCCCCTCACTCGCAGGGGCCCTGGAACCCCGTGGGAGGGCTAACAGCTCAGTGCCGGGGGTCCCAGCTCTCTAGGGCCTGGTCTGGGCTCTCTGGGAAGGCGAGGAGCCTTGGGGACTGGGAAGGCCAGCGGGAAGGACTGCAGCCCCTGTGACCGTGCCTGCCCTGGGTATCGTGCATGTCCGCCCCCCCCCACCCCCGGTGCCTCCCGGGGACCCCAGGGGAACAGGGCCCCTCCAGGGCTGGCTGGTGATAAGTTTGGCCTGGGAGGCGAGAGTCACTCACAGGGGCCTGCAGCGGGAGAAGCTGTAAGTCAGAAACACGCAGGGCGTGAGGGGGGGAGTGCGACCTCACACCTGGAGGCAGTGGGGGCTTTGCTTTCCACAGGAGCTGCACCCTGAGTGTCATTGTCAACAGTCCCGCTTCCCCAGACTAAGCCCGGGCCTGTCAGAGCCCAGCGGTGGGCATAGGGCCCCGTGGCCAGGTTGTCACAGCCCAATGGGAAGCCCCACCCACTTCCCTTCCATGGCATGTCACTCCAACCTTGGCTTCTTTCATCCTGGGTCCACCTCATTGTCCTTGGCACAGACTCCTCAGGACCACCACCCCCTCTTCCTCGCCTGGGCCATCCAGTCCCATCCCTCCCGCTGCCACCTCCGTCTCCACCCCTCACCCTCCCAGCCCCTCCTGAGCCCTCTTCCTTGGCCTCTGGCTGGGCTGTACCCTCTGCCCCTGCCCCTTTGCTGGTCTTGTCCTTGCCTGAATCCCTCCTCCACACCCGTGGGTGCCCCGCCCCTTTTTCCCTCCTGGTGAGAGGGGGTTATGGGTCTTTGGGACCACAGCATCCTTTCAAGGATGCATGTTGTCAACCTGATTTCTCACTCTTGGTGCTGACCTTGACCACCTCACCTGCCCGGACAGTGTCTGTCCAGCTCCTCCAGTGTGAGGCGCCCACCCCCCCCCCCGCCCTCTGCATATGGCGCTCTGGGGGAGGAAGTCTGTGAAGCTAAAACACAGGCAGAGGAGACTCTGCCTTTCCTCCTTGAGGGCAGAGCGTGAGCATAATCTATTTGGAATTCCTCTAGAAGGGAAACCTTCTCTCTCCCCCAGTGATTTATTCAATCGTGTACTTATACCAGTATGGACTCATGGGTGTTTATTTCATTCTTTGGGTTGCAACCCAGCACTACTTTATTTTATTGCTCAAATTATTCTAGTTTTATCTTAGGGGTTCTTTCTGTTGGCTCCTAGGCCCCATGGATGTACCCCATCTACATGGTGTTTTGTGTGTGTGTGTGTTGGGGCATTTTCTTACTTTTTCCTACAAGATACTGAAGCTCATGGCATGTATATTCTGCCCCCGAATTCGAGCCAGCAGTTTCTCTAAGAAGCCCACTTCCGCTTATTGGAGGCTTGTGTTAGACACCAAGGTCTAGGCTCCAGAAGCGCTTCTTGTTGCCGGCGTGTCCCTTCTAGGTCCCCTGAGCTGACAGAACAAGGAGATATAAGTGTGTATATTAATCATCTATAGTTCTATAAATATTATATGTAATCATCCGTGCTTATGTCAAACTAAACTGGAGCTCATGTGGATGTCTCCAACTCTCACCTGTTACCAGGTGAATCGGGTCATTCTGGCCTCCTCCTCTACTAGCTTATCTGCTCACCCTCTTCCCCACAGTGAGAATCCTGGCTCCTCCATCTGCCATCCATTTACTTATTGTTCAGCTCCAGCACCTACCCCCGGACCGGACCGCAGGCCGCAGTTGTTAGCTCAGCTCCATGGGCAACATCTTTATCAGCAGAGGGGAGTGCTGTGTCCCGTTCCTTGCCTCTTTAGTCTTACCGACTTGACTCAGTTCCAAAGTTGGTCAGCTCCTACCCCACCTGCCCTTTAGTGAGCTTGTCTCACCCCTTCCTAGTACAGCCAGAGTCACTGTCTAGCCCTAACCAGTTTGGCTCAGTGGATAGAGCATTGGCCTGCGGACTGAAGGGTCCTGGGTTCGATTCAGGCCAAAGGCATGTACCTTGGTTGTGGGCACAACCCCAGTAGGGAGTGTGCAGGAGGCCACTGATCCATGTTTCTCTCTCATCGATATTTCTAACTCTCTATCCCTCTCTCTTCCTCTCTGTAAAAAAATCAATAAAATATATTAAGAAAAAAAATTCACTGTCTGGGATCCCCTGGCCTCCTAAGTAGTTTTTTTTTTTTTTTTTTTTAAAAACCACATACATTTCTGATTACTGTCTGCACTGTACATGTTTATGGGCTTTAGCAGATGCCTAATGTCATTATCCACCACCGTCTGTCATGCAGAGCAGTGTCATTGCGAAATCCCCCATGGGCCACTTATTTGTTGCCTCCCCCATCTTTTGACTGTTTTTATAGTTTTGCCAGAATGTCATTTAATTGGAATTTACACTGTACATGTTCCCCCCAAAGTACTGTCTTTTTTTTTTTTTTTTTTTTTGCTTTTATGGAGTTCCGGGAAGAGGCTGGCCAGTTCCGGGAGGAGAGTGGAGAGAAGAACCTAAGGCTTTTGTGTTTTACCTTGCAAAGCCCTGAAAGTGGCTTTCTCTTTAAGTCCTGTGCTCTGTGAGTTTTGAACAAATTGTGTGTGTATGTGTGTGTTTCCTTCAGAGTGTTTCGAATCATGGATGACAATAATAACCGAACTCTTGATTTCAAAGAATTCATGAAAGGGTTGAATGACTATGCGGTGGTCATGGAAAAGGAGGAGGCCGAGGAGCTCTTCCGGAGGTTCGATAAAGATGGAAACGGCACCATCGACTTCAACGAGTTTCTCCTCACCTTGAGAGTAAGTGGCCCGGGACCAAGTGGGTCTGGCACGTGTGGCATCCACGTGGTGTGGGCTGGAGACTGTGAGGTTTTGCTGTCAGAAGCGGGGAGGTGAGTGCTCTGTGAAGGTGATGGGCGGGAGGTGCAGAGCAGACTTAGGGCCTGGGGGGTGGTCATGTGCAAACCATGTCATGGCACACAGCTAACGAATTTCTCTAATTACGCATCCTGGAGAGGAACAGGTGTCTTACCACATGGGGTACAGAAGAGATCATTGCTGTGTCTGTCTGTGTGCTTTTCCCAGCCTCCCATGTCCAGAGCCAGGAGGGAGGTGATCATGCAGGCGTTCCGCAAGCTGGACAAGACCGGAGATGGCGTCATCACCATCGAAGACCTCCGCGGGGTGTACAACGTGAAGCACCATCCCAAGTACCAGAACGGAGACTGGTCTGAGGAGCAGGTGTTCCGGAAGTTTCTGGATAACTTTGACTCCCCCTATGACAAAGACGGATTGGTAAGTAAGGGTGTAATCGAAGTGGAATTTCTTCTGTCTAATCTGTAATTGTAAATATATAGGAAATAGGCCCAAAGCCTTTAAAATAATTTTATTACGGATGCTATAACTAGAAGCAAAACATATCCTTAGTGAATACCTAGAAAGTTGAAGACTACAGAAGAAGTGTGTGTGTGTGTGTGTGTGTGTGTGTGTGTGTGTATGGGTGAGTATACATATATCAGTAGGGGATCTGCCAACAGCTAGTTACCCATCACCTGGAGAATGGGGTATTTGGACTAAACATTCCATTTCATGTTACCGTATGTACTACACACTTTCCAACGAATTAGATGATAAAAACATATTTACTTCAAAATGAGACCATAATTCAATATTTTGGGCTTTTCAGAACACTGCTGTGTTTTACACACATTCTCATTTGTTGTCACACTTTGCTCTGTGGAAATGCTATTTCAGGGAAGTTTTCGGTGAAAGGAATGCCAGATGACAGAATTTATTCTGATTTCCTCTTCAGCAGGCTTTGCAATTAACTTGCATTTCTAAAGCACAGTAAACTTAAAGCTAAGTGAAATAAGCCCATCAGAGACAGACAAGTGCCATCTGATTTCACTCATATGTGCAATCTAATTAACAAAATAGAAACAGACTCATAGATACAGAGAACAGACTGACAGCTGTCAGAGGGAAGCGGGGTGAGGAGGGTGGGTGAAAAAGGTGAAGGAATTAAGCCAAAAAACAACAACAAACAAAAACAAAACTCATATACACAGACAGCAATGTGAGGATTCCCAGAGGGAAAGAGTCTGTGTGTGTGTGTGTGTGGGGGGGAGGTAGGAGAGGGGAAAGGGCTGATGAATGGCGATGGAAGGAGGTGGTGAACACACAATACAATATACAGACGGTGTGTTGTAGAATTGAGAGAGAGAGAGAGAGAGAGAGAGAGAACAACTACTCCCTCTCCACTAACTTTGTTTTCAAGTTACAAATGCATAGCTTGGTAGGTTCAGGAATTATAACTTTTCTTTTAAAAAATTTTAAATTGATTTGTAGAGAAAGAGAGGAAGGGTGAGGGCGAGAGAGATAGAGACATTGATGAGAGAGGAACATATCCATGGGCTGCCTCCTGCACACCCCCTACTGGGGATCAAACCTGCAACCAGGGCATCGAACCCTGACCTCCTGGTTCCTGGGTAGATGCTCAGTTGCTGAGCAACACTGGCTGGGCAGGAATTATACCTTTATAATTATGTTTAACTGAGACCAAAGTGCCATGAGTCTTATCCACAGCCATCAATGGACTTTGGGACCCAGAACCAGCTCTGCTCTTTGGGGACCTGAAGGCCATGGTGATGGGGGAAGGGCATTCTCTCTTGGGTTGGTAGTCAGCTGGGCAGACCCCTGGGGAGGCACCCCCACCCCTGGTGCCACACAAGAAGGGTTAGTGGAACAGTGGGCGGGAGGGAGACATGTTGGTGACAGGAAGAGGAGACTGGCCTCTCCCTCCTGAGGGACTTTCCCTCACCTTCCCACGAAGCATCTCAGGGAGTCCTGTTAGGTGGTGAGCGGGACAGGGGTGAGCACTTTGTCTTTCTGCTGACATCTTCCTGCCAGGGACAGAGACAGGTCCTCCCGTTAGACTGAGGGGACCTCGGGGTAGACTGAAGAGGGGGAGCGTGTCCCAGATCCATGGAGCAGATGCTTGGGGACAGAGACAGCAGACCTCTTTGTTTTCTTTTATTCTTGCTGTCCTTTGATCTGTGGAAAAATAGCCAACTGCCGTTTCCCCAATTTAGCCCAGAGCCACCTGGGATCCGGGGGTGCTGGCCTGCGTCCTGCGTCCTGCAGGTGGTTCCTCCCCGTTGCCACGGGAAACCCAGGCAGGCGCAGCCAGGGGTTGTGATTCAGCTGATTCAAGCTCCCGCCCTCTCCCTGTGACATTTGTCTGAGCGCAGGGGAAGCTCTCAAAGGTCACTGTGGCTGGCAGCAGTTAGCACTCCCGTCATCTGACTGCCACCACCTCTGTGTTGATGCTCCATTCTGACTGTGCATCGTCATCATTCGTATTTTTTTAAAATTAATGATGCAAATTCCTGGCAAAAGGACAGAATCTGATTTTTTTTTTCGGGGAGGGGAGGTGCAACTCAAGCAAGAATTGGCAGTTGTGACAAGTGCCCCAGATAGCTCTTATTCACATTCACGGTTGACATTCTGGCCTCTGGAGGTTCAGAAGTGCCTATGTTTAATTACTGAATGTAGCACACACACTAACCTCATTTAGCATAATTACGGGTCAGAGAGCCATTTATTGAGCACTTATGTCTATGGGCTTCGCAGGGATTGACTAGCCCAGTGGCCGACAAACTCATTAGTCAGCAGAGCCAAATGTCAACAGGACAATGATTAAAAATTCTTTGGAAAGCCAAATTTTTTAAACCTAAACTTCTTCTAACATTACTTCTTCAAAATAGACTCTCCCAGGCTGTGGTATTTTGTGGAAGAGTCACACTCAAGGGGCCAAGGAGCCGCATGTGGCTCATGAGCCCCAGTTTGCCGACCACGGGACTGGACAGAATAAAAATGTTTCCAAAAAGTGAGGTCTGATGTAAACCTTTGTATGTTGACTCATATTTTAAACACACAAGGACCTGTCGAGGCCAAGGACCTCCAGGGTAAATTCTTTCATAAAGAGAACAATTAGCCCCTAACGTATGCTATTCAGATTGTGTTGTTGTACACACTCAGACTTCTTTGAGTGAAATGATAGCTATCCTTGAAGCCAGTGCTCTCATTTATGCTTAAAAAAGTATCATTGGTACCCAGATAAGAATTTATGATAAGATAAGAAAGTTAGTGCCCTCCTTAGCCAAGAGTCATGGTCCACTTGGTGAGCTTTTTTAAAAAAAAATTTTAATTTTAATTTTAATTTTTTAATATATTTTATTGATTATTTTACAGAGAGCAAGAGAGAGGGATAGAGAGTTAGAAACATCAATGAGAGAGAAACATTGATCATCTGCCTCCTGCACACCCTCTACTGGGGATGTACCCACAACCAAGGTACATGTCCTTGACTGGAATCGAACCTGGGACTCTTCAGTCTGCAGGCCAATGCTCTATCAACTGAGCCAAACTGGTTTCAGCCTTGGTGAGCTTTTAGTAAGTTAGGCTCAGCCGTCATGGAGCATGACGGGGTTTGCCGCAGTCACAGAATGATGTCATAGGTCTCGCAGCCACACCCTACCCTCCTCTTGGGCAGCCTGGGCCCCGGAAGCCATTGGGATGGAGGTCACAGAAGCCACCAAACACTGAGTGAAGCCCCGCTCTCCCCCTCACCCCCACCCTGCCTGGGGGAAGAAAGACTTTCACTTCTTATTTTCTAAATATCTAGGTTTTGATATCTGTGCATGTGTGAATGTTATATTCATTATAAATACTTCTGAAACTCCCCAAAAATGACATTAGCCTTTGAGGGACTGTGAGCCTATCTCCCATAGGAATTTTTTCTCGTAATTTTAAATGCTTTAAGGATGTTACAGAGTGCATGCAGATGCCCCGAATGGATTTTATGATTTTTCTAAGCAGGCTGGAATGGTTAACTCGAAATGATTTCTTCCCCCACAGGCAGAGCTCCCCGTTTTGAAAGGTAAAACACTCCTTGCTCTGAAACAAGGGCCTGGGGGCTGTCACAGAGACAGTATTAACTGCCATTCAACACCCTTGGTTCTTGTTCTGAGTTTCAGGCTCACTTACCAGAACAGACCGGCTTCTGCTTTGCAGAAAGAGAGAACCGGGATCTCCCTTTCCATTCAGGCCGCGGGTCTGGACATTTGCAAGACTTCCTTCTTCTCCCCCCACGCCTCCCACCTCTCTTTTCTTCACTTTGTTCTCAGCATCTCAGAGCCGCTCCTCAGCTCCTGATGGAAGGTCCCTTCACTGGCAGGTCCTGGAGAGGCCCCACCCGACCTGCGAGAAGCCAAGTTTCCTTTCTGTCTCTGACTCTGCCCGCAGGTCACCCCCGAGGAGTTCATGAACTACTACGCGGGCGTGAGCGCATCCATCGACACCGACGTGCACTTCATCGTCATGATGAGAACCGCCTGGAAGCTCTGACTGTAGGAACCGGGGGCCAGGCCTTGGGCAGCCTCATGGCTCCACGTGGCTAAACACCAGCTCAAAACCAGGATTCTAGTTGAGTTCAAGTTCATCCCACTGTTTCTCCCATGCCAACAAGCGTGTTCCAGGGCAGAAACGGGAATATACAGCACTTAACTGTAATTTAACTTCTCTGAGCTTGTTTCCTTAGCACTAAAGGAGAAATTAGCGGAAATAAAACCTGAAAAGCTGCTTTAGCCAGGCTGGCATGTACAGGAGTCTAATCCACATGAGGTGTGCTTCTTGGCCAGTGACAAAAATGGGAATATTTTGGCGATAACCCATCCAGGCACCCACAGCCTGTCTTCACCCCCTTTTAGACGGCTCACTTCTAGGTGGAGGAGTCCTCTGTGCTTATGCCTGTCCGTGTCCAAGGGCTTCAGTCCCCATTCGGGGACCAGAAGGAGACCATGCTTTGCCCTCAGTTTCTATAACCAAATCTTGCCTTTCTCTGACCACGGTGTAGGGAAGCCTCGGTTAGGGGAGTGGACTTAGAATGACATTTGGGGGTCATTGTGGAGGCTGGTGTGAGACGGACACACACACACACACACACACACACACATACACACACACACACACAAACACACATACACGTTTATCTGGGCAGTAGGGCCAGGACTGTTCTCAGTGCTTCTGTGGTTGAAGGTGGAGGTTGCGCTGTGCTCTCCACGGTGGGGACGTGTCGTCCTGTGAGCCCACAGACCGTGTCAGCGAGCCTGGGCCTGGGACTGTGCCGCCCTCCTCTCCCTGCTGTAGGCCAACAGGATTGGCTTTCCCACCAGTGCAGGGAGGTTTGTTGTGACACAGACTAGGGTTGCAGCCCTGCCCCAAAGCAGACTGTCCCTCCTGATGCTGCGTGGCATTCTCCTCCCAGCTCCATGCCTTGGCTTCCTGTGGTTAACGTGCCAACAGCTCCCTGGGAAATCCTCTGTACAAAGGCAGCCTCAGCTCCTGGGAAGTAGATGCTGAGCTACAGCCCTCGCTCTGTGCTCTGTGTCTGGGCCAGAGATAAGCCCTTGCCAGCCCTCTGGCTACAGAGCTGGACGTAATAACCAGTCTATCTTTTTCCTCAGGGACACCCCCCCCCCCACACACACACTCTCTCTTCTCTCTCTCTAGTTTGGGGAGATAGATTGGGACCATGGTCTTTTTTAAGTTCTTATATCTTTAAGTGACTCTGGATTGAGGGTCTGGACATAACATGGCAGTTCACTTGTTTACTTTTTATTTCTCAGTCTTGGAAGTTGAGATTAGGATAGACATGGACCTAAAAATGGTGAATGTAGATGTTTTCAGAGGTGAACCAGAACAGCTACTAAGGGAGACCCTTCAGTGACTTGGTTTGTTGTTGAGAAGCTAAACTCTCCCTCTCATCACAGGCTGGAAGAGAGACATTTTTCTTGAGGATAAAGAAGCGAGCTATTTTGGGTATTAATGACACAAGTCTGGGTTTCCACTGGATTGATTATCTTGGCTTCTCGAGAGGCTGGCAGGTCAGAAAATGCCAAGTGTTACAAGGGTGGGTATAGGAAGGATGTAGAAATCTGGAATAAATGACGAAGAAACGTATAGAAGAGATACCCACGTTCTATGGAGCCTGCGCTATGCAGATTGTGGCTACAGCCAGGTCCCCGGTTTCCTGGACACGGTAGATCTCAAGCCTACTGCTCTAGATAGATCTGTGTCTTTGATTCTGGCTTTGACTCATGCCTCTGCCTAACTGGGCCGTAGTGTTAGCATGTGATTCTGAACGAGGTCTGGGCTGCAGCTATCAGCTTCGTCTTCCCCCGTTGCTCTGAGCTTCCTGTCTCATTGGGGCCCAGGGCAGAGTGCTCAGATCTTAGATAACCCGTGCCTCACAGTGCATTTGGTCACATTGGGTCACCGCCCCTCTAGCAGATTCGGTCTGAGCCCACCAGCAAGGATTCACCAACCAACGCCCTCTCTCCTTCCATAAGCAAGATCGCAGCTAATGATCACTCCTGTCCTATTCCGAGTCTTATCTGTGATTTCTGGCCTAGTGGGAGGAACAGAGAAAGGCCATTAAAAATCACTTGCTAATACTTTTGGATCTATTTTTGGTTTATTTAACTTACATAACTTAAACATTACTCCATTCTCAATTTATTTTTTTATTATTATTTTTAAAATATATTTTATATTGATTTTTTACAGAGAGGAAGGAAGAGAGATAGAGATTCAAAAACGTCGATGAGAGAGAAACATTTATCAGCTGCCTCCTGCACACCTCCCACTAAGGATGTGCCTGCAACCAAGGTACATGCCCTTGATCAGAATTGAACCTGGGACCTTTCAGTCCGCAGGCTGATGCTCTATCCACTGAGAAAAACCAGTCAGGGCTCCATTATCAGTTTAAAAAGTAAGCACTTGGGTCAGAAGATAAAAGACAAGAAAGTTTCCAAAGCAATCCCTTCAGAGACCTTACCTCTTGGGCCTGAACCCCAGATAGGAAGTAAACAAACAGACAAACAAAGAACAAAGAAAAGAGGATGAAATTAGCAGTTTTTTATGAAACAGAAACAGTGTATGTAAAAATTCTGAGAGTCAGGTTTGGTCAGAATGAGCCACTAATATCCTGCTGAATGCGGGTTCTACTAGTAACTCCCCCAAAGGCAAAGCTAGAAGGGAATGGGGGGACCCTGACTCAGCCTCTGGTTCATACCCGCTGGAATTCCATTGATGAAGCAAATGGGAAATCTAAGACCCACTGGGATGAGTCAGAGACTGAGGCAGAATTCTTCCAGCTGATCGGAGGGGCTGGTTTTAACACAGACATTCATGCCTGGATAGGGTGTCTTCCCAGACCCTGGCGGCACTGTGGAGGACGGTGTGTTGCTCTTGGTGGCTTGATGGCATGTGTGGGGTCATGTTTTATATCTAATAATGGCAGCTCTCATGGCAGGGCTGGGCCCTCTGCATAGGCTGCAGACTGCTTTGCACACATTGTGGTTTTAGCTTGAAGTTACATCCCATCAGAAAGTGTTTCTTGACCCTCTGCTGTGTGCCATGGTCTATCCTTGGCAGTAGAGCAATGAGCTAGAAGAAATGCAAACAAAACTACTGGCTTTCAAAACTCACAGCCCGTGGTGGTTAGGCGATCAGAGAGGCGGGAAAGGATGGGTACTGAAACTGCCCTCTCTGAGGCTCCTTCAGCGTCAGCAGCCAGGACTGGGGGCCCCTTCACATGCAGAGTGTGGAGGAGCTGGGTGATACACTGGTGAAGGTAGAAAACCTATCAAGACGAGGCAAGGAAACCCCCCCTGTATTCTTGGAGGCAGGCAGTGGTTCTTTCACTTCCCTTGGCCAATGCGATGCTTCGCTGAGCCACAAGAACAAGAGGGTCACAATTCACCCCTCTTCAGGCGACTTAGGGATGACGTCTGTTCTGCTGATGTTTAACCAGGATTAACTACAGCGTCTTAGTTAATCAGCTCCTCCACTGAAAGGGTCCTGAATGTGGGCCCCGCTGAACCGGCGAAGCCAAGTTTCGTTTCTGTTTCTGACTCCTGGATGGTGTGTGGGTACCTTCTCTCTTCCTCCTTCACGAAGTTCTACTAACACCCCCTGAGTAGTATACCTTTCTGGATGTACGCTTATTTCTTTTGGGCACAAAATGTAAAACCTCACACATTCCAGTTTTTAAGATGAATCATCAAACTTGATTTCCTGGAAATGATGGGCTGTTCTTTGAAATGAAGACCTTGTTGAAAGAGGCAACAACTTTGCAAATTTTAGAAGTGCTTCTGGCTCAAGGGAAAGCAAAGGCGCCACGGATCTGATAGATGGTGGGTAATGTTATTCATGTGCAATGGATCCTTTGGAAAGCCAGCCTCTCTAAGCAGTTTGGCTCACCCAGGTTGCCTATGTGAAAACTGCACAACGTTGATGGAGATAGCTAGTTCTTTGAACCCCCTAGAAGTAAGCGTTCTAACACAGATGCCGGTGGGATCTGTTGAGAGGAACCGAGGCGGATGATTGATGGGGGTTAGAGAGCCCGGTGTGAGCGACGGCCTCTCTGCCCTCTCAGTGGTGTGGTGAGAGGCTGTGGTGAAACAGCTCTTCCTCTCTGAGAATAGCATGGCTGCTAGTCTCCTCTCACACCTGCTCTGCCAAAGCCAAGGCAGCGTGGAAGGCTCCTCAGGAGGGAACCCGCTGCCAACCTGAGCGGCCAACCAGCCAGCTGCCTTAGCAAAGGAACTTGCAGCCACCAGAAAGGTATATTGCACTGGGGGAAGGACATCTCAGCATGTAATGGACTATTTCTTTTGTTCTAGATTCTTCTCCCCACGCATCATACATGGACTGTCTTTACCTATTATTCCTATGGAGTATTAACAGTAATTTCTGTTTCGCCAAAGTTCTTGTGAGCACCAGGGATCTTCAGCTGCTGTGCTTGCTTCCATCACTGGGCCAGGGGCAGGCTGCTCAAAGGTGCAGAGGGTCCCACCCAGCTTGACATGATGCTGCCCACATGACTATCATTCATCTCCCGTTTGCTTCTGCTCTAGCCCTGTAGTCAACCCACCAGGACCCAGAGCTGAAGCCTCTGAAATGGAGCGAGATCTGAGTGTCTAGTTGGTGATCCTGTCATTACAAAACCTGAGTAACTTTTCCTTTCCTGACCTTAACTCTTGGCACTCAGAGGCTGGTGGTGATTCTGGGAACATCTTGATCTTGAACTTGAAAGGTTTGAATTGTTAATCTCCTAAAAAACGTCAGGCCACCTGCAGAACTGATGCTAATCTGTGCTCTGAGAGAGACTTCCAACAGCATGGGGGCCTCAAGGGAGAGAAGATGCCAGGTGGCCGAGTGGCTGCCTCCCCCAGGACTAGAGGGAGCCTTGGCCTGTTTCCAGGTTGCTGGGACAAAGTGCTGTAGGAAAGCAGGTTATTACCAAACTTCAGGCATCACCTTAGCAAATCCAGGTCGCTCCT